TACTACTACTAACTACTACTACTACTACTACTACTACTAACGAACTACTACTACACCTACTACTACTCGACTGCTTATCTGGGAAGCATACTTACTCACTACGTACGACGACGACTACTACTACTACTGCTACTACTACTACTACTACTACTACTACTGTGACTTCGACTGCTACTACTACTTTTCCTACTACTACTACTACTACTACTACTACTACTACTACTACTACTACTACTACTACTACTACTACTACTACTACTACTACTACTACCTACTACTGCTACTACTACTACTACGACTACTACTACGACTACTACTACTACTACTACTACTACTACTACTACTACTACTAATGCCACTACTAAAACTACTAAAACTATTTCTACAACTACTACTACTACTACTACTACGACGACGACGACGACGACGACGACGGCTACCACTACGACAACGACTCCGACGACGGCGACGACGACGACGACTACTACTACTCCGACCACTGCGACAACTACGACTACGACTACGACGACGACGACGATTACAATGACTACGACGACGACTACGACTACGACTACGACGACGACTACGACTACGAACTTCAACAACAACTACTACTACTAGTACGACTACTACTACAACTACGTACTACCCACTACCTGGTATCTATATACTTCCTACTCCTACTACCCACGACCTACTACCGACTACTACTACTACTACTACTACTACTACTACTACTACTACTACTACTACTACTATTACTACTACTACTACTGCTACTACTACTACTACGACGACGACAGCCACCTACCCACCTACGACTGTTCTCTACTACTACTACTCCTACTACTACTACTACTACTACTACTACTACTACTACTACTACTACTACTACTACCACGACTACTACCTGCCACTACGACTCATACTTCTACGTCTACTTATACTTCTACTGAACTTGTACTCCTACCTCTACTACTGCTACTACTACTACTACTACTACTACTACTACTACTACTACGACTACTACTACTACTACTACTACTACTACTACTACTACTACTACTACTACTAATACTACTGCTACTACTACTACTACTACTACTACTACTACTACTACTACTACTACTACTACTACTACTACTACTACTACTACTACTACTAATAAGCGGTGAAGTAAGGATAAAGCGAAACTGAAAGCGAAGGAGAAAGATAAAAAGTGACAATGACAACGATAATCACATGAAGAAGTTCGAGCGGGTACCGAGGGGTGGAGGAGAAGGAACAGATGGCGTGGGACGGGCGTGTTACGAGAGGAGCTGTCTCTGCACCCCAATCCAGATACTCACATACATTCCCAAATCTCAACCCCACAAGATGGATCCGAAGCATGCGCACCCTAACTCATACACACAACCGTACGATCAAACCTGATTCGAATCCTGACCCTGACTCTCGCCACCCTAAACCAAATCCGAACCCGAACCCTCAACCAAACACTGATCACATGCCTAATCCTGACTTTCGTCATCGTCCTCCTCCTCCTGATCTCCCTCCTCCTCCTCCTCCTCCTCCTCCTCCTCCTCCTCCTCATCCTCTTTCAGATTGGCACTGCGAACTCCCCAAATCAGGCGCAACCGACATAGAAAGCTGTAAGTCTCCACGACTGTCAAGACAGGCCCTGAGGCCCAGGGGAAGCCTGCTTCGGCACGAGCTTTGAAGACCCTGGCACCCGGTACCCCCATGGCTTCCAGCCTACCTCCCTCGCCGAGGATATCGTCAGGGGGCACCAGCTCATGCGGGGAAACATCGACCTGGAATCGGCGATGCATCGCCGAGAGATCGGCGATATGCCCCCAACTAGACAAGCGCGCTCCACTACTCGCGAAGTAACTACTCGCAAATAGCCTGGATCCGGCGCGGGGGATCTACGATCCGTTACAACGAGTCGAACATATGTTTTCCGGACGTTTGCGAGCAGGCACGTTGCGAGTACAACGCTCTCAGTGACCAATCGCAACATCCGCACGCTCCCGGGCAGAGTTGGCTGTCGGGGCCCCAGCGGCGATGAAAGACCGACTGGGGGTCGATGCGTCCCCTCCTGAGCTTGACCCCATCCCCTGGAGTTTCTCCTGATCCTTCTTCCTCCTCTGTCTCCTCCTCCTCCTCATCCAGCCAGGTTGGACAGGAGTCCGCTTCGAGGGTGGCGGCTCCATTCGGCCGATTTGGCCGCATCGCTTTCCCTCTCCAAGGGAACAAACAATGACCGAACCATAGAAACTCGGAGGTCCGCGCGAAATCCTCGAATCGACGCTGGATCCCCCGCTCTGGCGCCGGAGGCGCCACCAGGGGACCCCAGCGCCGATCCGAGGAAGCCGCGCGGACCTCCGAGTTTTGATGGTGCGCGTTTTTCTTATTCGGCGTTTCGACATTGAGCGAAGAGGGGGGGGAGGGAGGGGGTCTGGCTCTGGGCCTCTGCTGAGTGCGACTGGTTGCATCAGTGCGTCCTGTGGTGGAGAGACCCCACATGCTCGAAACAGGCCCCAAAGAAACAGCCAAGATCCACTCTGGGGGGAGTGGGGGTGGTGCGAGGGCCCGCGCCGATCGGCAAAACAACGAGTAAGAAACCGATCACATGTTTATCGGCGGTGGACAAACCTCCCTTTAGCAAACCTCCCCTTAATGAAAACGGCCTAGGACCGAAACCGACGGACCTGGACCCGCAAAAACGACGGCCGCGACGCCCCCTCGCGAACCGAACGTGGCCAATTCCTCAATCGACGTGTCAGGGCAGGAGGTCTCTCAACCTCCGAATTTGTGCCATCCCCTCTCCGCCCCCCGGCTGGACGTCGCCTGCCGCTCGCTCGCTCGCCATGCCCAGACCGAGGGCGCCTGGCTGCGGTGCGTGCGGTGTGGCCGCGCTCGCCAGCGGCAGCGTCGGCACGCCGGCCGGCGTGCCGGGGGCGAGCGCGAAGGCCGCTGCAGCCATCGCTTCGGAAGGCGGCCGGGATCTCCCTGCGAGGGGCGGGAGGAAGAGGCGGAGGCGGGTGAGCCGGTTGATCTTCAGATCCAGGCAAGCTTACTTGCATGGCGTTCGCCCCCCCCCCCCCCTGCGAGGGGCGGGAGGAAGAGGAGGAGGCGGGTGAGCCGGTTTCTCTTCAGATCCAAGCAAGTTTACCTGCATGGCGTTCGCCCCCCCCCCCCCCCTGCGAGGGGCGGGAGGAAGAGGAGGCGGGTGAGCCGGTTTATCTTCAGATCCACGCAAGTTTACCTGCATGGCGTTCGCCCCCCCCCCCCCCTCCTCGCCCCGCTTCGATCGAACACGAGCGTGCAAGTGCCTTTCGACTTGCGTGATTTCCGCACGTCAAGCTGCTTTCGGCTTGCTTCAAGCTAAGCCGCCCCCCCCGTCCACGCAAGGAAACTTGCCCGAATTCCAAACAAGGCTCTGATATACTTCTCGATCTGTGCGCGTGGCATCCTTGCGCAGGGGTCATGCTAATCTTCCCTGTGTCGTTCCAGCTTTAGCGGACGATCCCCGAAGGGGACCCTGGAGACGAGGCGGGTGATGGCGGAGGAGACGAAGAGGGTGGAGGAGGGGCGGGTGGCGCGGCACGAGGGCGTGGGGGGCTCCGCGTGACGTGAAAATCACGAACCATGCAAACATGCCTGAAAGTAATCTCGCGCGGATTTCCGTTCTCAAATTCAGTGCTCGAGCTTTCTGTGCGCGGCTGTTCAGATCAGTGATGTTTGACCTGGTTGGAGAACCAGCCCCTTTCTCAATACTGGAGAAAAACACTGTTCCAGCTTCATATTGTTGGGATATGATACACATATCATTACTTACCATGGACGTAATCGCAGAGTTACCTCATCGTCTCGGCACGGGATTGGTAGTGCGAAGCTTGGTTTGAGTGATGATCAGCGACCACTGGGCAATCCGACAAGCGAGATCCCCAGAGAATGCCTGCCTGGGTCGGCAAGGCAAAGACGTTGGACGAATACCAAACTGAGGTGGAATTAATCTTGTTATCTACGAAGGAGGACGACAGGAAGCTACTAGGTGCTAGTACCTCACTTGGTGCATGCGTTGCCGCGGAACACATCGCACAGAAGAATGGCCCTGCGATTACCGCGAACGGAAGATACGCCTGACACGACTGTGGGTGAGAAGGGTCCGGACAGCTTGCTGAAGATGTTCGACAAGAGCCTGGGCAAACAAACCTCGAACGATGAGGTGGACAATGTGTTCGGCTACCCCTGCAATATGAAGACTTCTGGATCGATTGTGAGAGCGCTAGGTCAGACGACCAGCCTCTACGCGGGGCAGGAGGAAGACGCATACCACGAGATGGACAAGGCGGTCCGAACGCTCACCCCAGACATAGAAGCGTTGGAACTGATTTCCGACGAGCTGCGAGGCATCGTCCTGATGAACGAACCTGGACCCAAGTGAGAAAGCGACGGTCGTGGCACGGCCGTCAAACTGGTCGATAGAAGATGCCATCGAGAAGCTGAAGTACGTTTGGTCAGATCGAGATCTGGCTGCACGATGTTAGATTGCGATGATGCGCAGAGAGGTCAGGATCCAGAACAACATAGACTGTTGCATACACAAAAGCGCTGGTCTCCAAGAAGATACTGACGAAGAACCACTCGATTGGAAGCAGGCACGATCGAGGAAGAACCGGACATGAATTACGAGGAGAGGCTCAGAAACAGATCGAGGAGCTGGAAGCATACGCCGAAGACGCCGAGATTTTCGTCCAGGATGCACACCAAAAGTCCACGGGGGCAAAGAAACGACTCGTGGAAACTACAAGTAGCAGAAAGGGCTACTTCCCCGTGGTCGCCATCGGTCAGATGCCTGAGCCCGCCTCCAGGGACTCGAACAAAACGATGGTCAAGTTTGCGCTCCGTCCTCCTAAGCCGCCATTGCGGCAAAGGCACAAACAAAGGAAAAGGACCTATGAACTGCCTCATCTGAAGTGGCCCACGCCGAGGAGTCGATTGCCTGGAGCGAAGGATGACTGGCGGCGGCGACAACAACATGGAAATGGCAAACGACTCCAGTCTGTCCGTGGCGGATATCGAACACACGACCGCAAGCGAGGACACCAATTACAACAATGAAGGGTCTCAGCTGCCAGGTGGTCATGTGGGCTGGGTCCACGAGGAAATGGTGGGGTTCGCAATCATCGGCATTGGTGCGACAAAGAGTATGATCGGCATGGACCTAACGATGGCCATCCAGGACAACGTCTTGCAGGTGACGGGCCAGGACCAGGTACAGATGGACTACTCGAAGAAGACGACGTTCACGTATACAGGCGGCGAGAAAAGGCCAAACCATCTGAAAGTTCGGGTTCGAGCATTCTGTGGTGCTGATCGAGGACGAGTCAAAGTTGCGCTTCGAACTGATTCAAATCCCGGCCCCGATTCTCCTGAGCCTAGACTACCTGGAGCGCTCGGAAATCGGCCTGGCCTAGGAGAAGAGTGCCCTCGTCTAACCGGACGGCCATGGAGAGCCCAGAGTCCAGTTGTCGAGCAAGCACTACGCACTGCCCATGCTTTGAAAGGGCCCAGCCAGAGGTTGTGACAACGCTGATGGATTGAGGACGCCGCCATCTAGGTCAGATCAAGAGTTTCCATAATCATCTCAGAGGCTAAAGTCAACATCAGCATCATGCCCATTGGATTCAAATACCACTGCAATTCTCAGAACACGCTCGTGCATGATCCCTCGGCGTGTAGCCACGCGAACACATCATGAACAAGCACGGGTACATGGAACACCACCAGATCACGACCGCGCAAGAGTACACGAGGTACCACGAGGTGTATGGCTCGATCACGCACGAGCATATGCACTACGGCACGACGACCACGGGATCTCCACGAACGATACCCACCTCCTCCACAGCCATTTGAGTCGAGCACGCGCTCTCAGAGAAACTTTCACGAGTCAGCCCATGAGCAGTCCGCAGGGGCCACGGGTGCCTGCCGATACCGAGATCTCGCAAGAGGAAATCGACTGGGACGTGGTGGGGCCCGCATCGCTCGCAGGGGGGGGCGCTGCACTCCTCGCCGTCGTCGCCAGCTGCGCTTGCGGAGGAGGAGCAGGATGCAGTCAAGCTCTACAAGGACCTGAAGGAGCAGGCCGTGGAGCTATGCTCGCGGTCACAGACCCAGACACGACGGGGGAGCGAGACCATCGTGGAGCGAGCTGCACAGGACAGTCTTCTCGCGGAGACCTCCAGGAGGGCACGGGCAAGGACGCTGCCCAAGACATCGAACCACCTCGTCGCCGAGGCGGAGTCCGCCTGGTTCAATGACCAGGGGAAGAACCCTCAAGTGGATGCCGAGGTTCGAGAGATGCCGACCGTGTCGAGGACCAATCAGCGCCAGGGAACGACGTCCTCGCAGTTGCAGGCTCGGGGAACCACCAGCTTCCAGGACCATACGAGAAAACAGACCATCAGCTTCCAGGACCAGACCAAGGAGACGACCACGCCGTTCAACAAGAAACTCCGGAAGGGAATGATCCCTCTCCGCCAGAGCCTCTGGAGACCATTGAGAAGAAAACGCAATCGATGGCAGAACCTCGCGATGCGGATACAGTCCTGGAAACGATGGTCATAACATGTCCAGCTACTCAGATACATCAAGAACGGGTGTCCGAAGATGTGACGCACCGACCTGCTGGAGATCTGTGTTCCCCTGGACCTTCCACTGGGAGGTGAGGTGCAGAAAATTACCCTGGCGACGTACCCAACCCCTGCGCAAAAGCGGGGCGCAAATAGTTTAGGATACTTTATAAGGGGGCGATGACGGAGCGAGGGTTACATATGTCTGCAGACGGAATTCGGGAGACTCGCAGGACACTGGCTACAGGAAAAGGGCTTGATAAAGCTGATGATTTACAATTCCTGAGCACTCCTAGCCACTTCGAAAACGGGGATCACAGCAGGCCTCGAAAGTGGCGACAGGTTCACAGATCGCAGCCCCGCAGGGATGGCGAGGTCTCATTTGAATCTGCCCGTGGCCCTCACTGTGCTGGGCCCCCCAGCAGGCCTCGAAAATGGCGGCAGTTTCGCAGATCGCAGCCCCCCAGGGATGGCGAGGTCTAATTTGAATCCGCGCGTGGCCCTCACTGTGCTGGGCCCCCCAGCAGGCCTCGAAAACAGTGATCGCAGCCCCCCAGGGATGGCGAAGCATCGGGCCCCCCAGGGATGGCGACAGGTCACAGATCGCATTGAATCCGCGTGCTGTCTAGGTCTGGCGAAATTTGAATCCGCGCGTGGCCCTCACTGTGCTGGGCCCCCCAGCAGGCCTCGAAAATGGCGACAGTTTCGCAGATCGCAGCCCCCCAGGGATGGCGAGGTCTAATTTGAATCCGCGCGTGGCCCTCACTGTGCTGGGCCCCCCAGCAGGCCTCGAAAATGGCGACAGTTTCGCAGATCGCAGCCCCCCAGGGATGGCGAGGTCTAATTTGAATCCGCGCGTGGCCCTCACTGTGCTGGGCCCCCCAGCAGGCCTCGAAAATGGCGACAGTTTCGCAGATCGCAGCCCCCCAGGGATGGCGAGGTCACTGTGCTTTTGAGATCGCAGCCCCCCAGGGATGGCGAGGTCTAATTTGAATCCGCGCGTGGCCCTCACTGTGCTGGGCCCCCCAGCAGCCTCGAAAATGGCGACAGTTTCGCAGATCGCAGCCCCCCAGGGATGGCGAGGTCTAATTTGAATCCGCGCGTGGCCCTCACTGTGCTGGGCCCCCCAGCAGGCCTCGAAAATGGCGACAGTTTCGCAGATCGCAGCCCCCCAGGGATGGCGAGGTCTAATTTGAATCCGCGCGTGGCCCTCACTGTGCTGGGCCCCCCAGCAGGCCTCGAAAATGGCGACAGTTTCGCAGATCGCAGCCCCCCAGGGATGGCGAGGTCTAATTTGAATCCGCGCGTGGCCCTCACTGTGCTGGGCCCCCCAGCAGGCCTCGAAAATGGCGACAGTTTCGCAGATCGCAGCCCCCCAGGGATGGCGAGGTCTAATTTGAATCCGCGCGTGGCCCTCACTGTGCTGGGCCCCCCAGCAGGCCTCGAACATGGCGACAGTTTCGCAGATCGCAGCCCCCCAGGGATGGCGAGGTCTAATTTGAATCCGCCCGTGGCCCTCACTGTGCTGGCCCCCCAGCAGGGCTCGCAAATGGCAACAGTTTCGCAGATCGCAGCCCCCCAGGGATGGCGAGGTCTAATTTGGATCCGCCCGTGGCCCTCACTGTGCTGGGCCCCCCAGCAGGCCTCGAAAATTGCGACAGTTTCGCAGATCGCAGCCCCCCGCGGGCAAGACAGGAAGAGGCGGGAGGGGAAAAGGAGGAAGGGCGGGAGAAGGGACGCGACCACACTGCTCTATTCAAAACGAATACCCAACCAAGGAGGGTTGGGAAAAAAAAAAGGCTCCGTGACGCACATGGGCCTCTTCAACCTCTGCGATGTCAACGCGAAGGACTCCGCCGCCAAGGCGAAAGTTCTGATTCAGAAACAGAAGCCCAGGTGGGCACGCACACCCGCGTCACGCATTCGCAACAAGTTGTTTCAAAAACAAATTCCCAGCATGCTCCCCACTTATTGCGGCTTTTTCTGGACATTCCTTGAACACTGTCGCCTCGCTACCTCGTCCCACACAGCATGGCCCTACTATGCACCAAAGCCAATCGAACACTACGAGTCGTGGGAGCACCAAATCATGTGGCAGAGGGTGGCAGTGATTAGCACCTCTAAGCCATCAAGTATTTCTCAGTTCTGCCCCCCTGACTTGCATTTCTAAATGCGACGGCATACCCATCTTCTAGACACAACGCCGGTGTAACCAAACCCAATCATGCAACGCCCGGCGATGCGGGGGCGATGGCAGCATGCAGGCTATGATGACCTCGACGGGTTCTTCGGTGGTCTAGTCGGCACACATACGAACGATCCCAATAAAACGTAGCCGCGCAACTCGAATCAATCGAAATGGCGTCCTTCTCAAGAGCGCAACACTATGATGTGCGGCCTACGCGCTGGCTGAGCCAAATCCTGAGAGAAGGCGCTGCCGACACATGATCAACAATCATCCTGCCCCTCCTTGCCATGCGTGGCTCTACTTCCTGGGCCTCGTTGCATTGCTCTATCTCCGAACCATGGTCTGACTTCTTTCCCTCACTACTTCATCGTACTCTGCCTCCTCGCCCTTCCTCGTTGCTCCGAAGATGCCTGCGCCATGAACGCTAAAAGTAATAATCTCTTTGCTGCGCAAACTGTTCAACCACTCCGACGAGAAACTTCACCTCTGTATCGCTCCACCACCACGTTGCTTCCGTGACCCATGAAATCCCACCAACTCTCTGGGCAAGTCCACTCCGCTGGACCTCCAAAGAACCCACGAATACGCAGTTGCGCAGTTGGGCAACACCCAGTCCTGGGTGGCGAATGCAAACCCACAAGCACGCTGGGCGCCAGTTGTGCAGTCGGTAACATAGGACGGTGATCAAAGTCCGCTCCAGAGCGTTCCGGAACGCTCTCAATGCGTTCCGGAACGCTGTGAAAAGGCCACGGTGCCCGATACATCATCCAGAGCAGCCGGATCATAGAAATTCTCGACTTATCCTTACCTGGATTCATCTTCCCCTTAACTTCGTCTCACAGCACCCAAGAAAGGCGAGGTCCTGTTTAGATCCGCGCAGGACATCGCTCAGCTGGGCCTTGCCATGCGCCCCCCCAGTGGGAGCCGTTGCGCAGTTGACAGCCGCCAGGGGCGGCGAGGTCCCGTCTGGCTCCGCCGAGGGCGCCGCTCCGCTGGGCCTCCCGGGCGGCCCCAAAGGTGGCGACGGCTGCGCAGCTGGCGACCCTCAGGCAAGGCGAGGTCCGGCGGACCCCAACGGGCGGGTCAGGTCACGCAGACGGACATTGAAGTGAAGGGCGCGCTCGACCGAACGCGCGCGAACCTTCACGGGCGGGTCGGGCTGGCCGGGCGGACCCTAACGGGCGGGTCGGGTCGGGTCGGGCGGGCGGACTCAGGCGGTTCGGGCGGGCGAACCCTAAACGGGCGGGCCAGGTCGGGTCGGGCGGGCGGACTCGCGGTTCGGGCGGGTGGGCCCTAACGGGCGGGTCAGGTCACGCAAACGGACATTGAAGTGAAGGGCGCGCTCGACCGAACGCGCGCGAACCTTCACGGGCGGGTCGGGCTGGCCGGGCGGACCCTAACGGGCGGGTCGGGTCGGGTCGGGCGGGCGGACTCAGGCGGTTCGGGCGGGCGAACCCTAAACGGGCGGGCCAGGTCGGGTCGGGCGGGCGGACTCGCGGTTCGGGCGG